ATGATTAATGCTTAAATAAATTGTTTCAAATATTGCCTCGGTTATTAGTAGTTAATTAGATTTAAGATTTCTTTGTACTCAGATTGTGGAAGCAATGTGAAGTAGAAAAAACTGGCTTGAATGAAGAGAATGAATGTGATTCTTTCAAATACATACTAATGTATACATTTTTTTCCAATCTTAGTGACGGTCTGCACATTTGGAATCATCTGCTTACCGAGGATACTATGTCGAAGGTTAAGCGAGATTGAATTGTCACGGCATTACAGTCATGTCTTATAGATGATACAATGAGACTTTTCTTCATGTTGTTTTAAGTTCTCTAATATTTCATTCCACCTCTTTCATCGCAGATCCTTTTTTTTTTGTGTTCGATTTTTTAAATTCAGACCAGCATTCTTTAAACTCTCATTGTATCATAAGTTTTTTGTGAGAACGTAATTATTGAAAAATAGTATGAATGATTGGTGTGCAAATATTATTAATAACGAGAATGAGTTGATTTTTAGATGGCTAAAGTATTTTTCGATGTGGAAGACTTGAGCAGGACAGTGCTCCCTAAGGCACCAAACTTTCACGTACGTATGCCATATGCCACCTACTGTTGCAGCTCTCTCGTACCCGTTGAATAATTAATCGGAATTTCGTACAACATTTATAACTAATTGTCGCAATGAAGTATTTATCGAAGTGCTTATGTTACCGTTTTATTTCACGATATACGCAACGTGGAAATGAGAGTGAATTCAGTAGTTTACTTAGAATATACCAAAATATTCTAAGGGCATTTTAATGATAAATATTACAATAAAATGACTAGGTATGTTCAGAAGTTTTTGAAAGTTTGAGCATTTTTTCGAACAATTATCTAATAGTTGCGCTTTGCGTGACTTCTGGTTCTTGATTACAGGTGGAAAGACTCCAGACATCGGTTCTAGAACTTACACAGAGATTATGCGAGAACAGTTACTCAAAGGAGAAGAAACAGAGGTATATTTAATGAAGAGTTTATAGACCTTCCGTAGCTAAAGCGTCAATTCAATTTTCATATACATTTCATATACATTTGTTTTCAGTTAAGAAAGAAACTAGCCGAAAAAGCCAAAGAGGGAACTCTAAAAGCTAACGGTGAACCAAAACCGGCACCGAAAAAAAGAGGCCGTTGGGATCAAACGGATGATGCTCCAACACCTAAAAAGCCAAGTGGTACTACTGCAACACCAACGTCATGGGATAATGCTGACGTAAATAATCAAATAATTTCAATGGTAGTTTTACGCTTGAACGATTGATTGAATTGCTTGTTCTTGTTATCAGGTAACACCAGCTGCAATCAGGTGGGACGAAACACCTGGTCATGGTAAAGGAGGAGAAACTCCTGGTGCAACACCAGGTGTAAGCACAAGAATGTGGGATGCTACTCCAGGACATGCAACACCTGGTGCCGCTACTCCTGGCAGAGAAACCCCTTCTCATGAGAAAACTGTTTCAAGCCGAAGGAATCGTTGGGATGAAACCCCAAAAACTGAACGTGGTAAATATACGAGTACATTACGTTTTTTTTTTAGAATCTCTTGAAATTCATACGAGTAACACTATATTATGAATCGTAGAGACACCTGGGCACAGCAGTGGTTGGGCCGAGACACCGAGGACTGATCGTGTTGCAGGAGACTTAATTCAAGAAACTCCGACACCGTCTGCTAGTAAACGTCGAAGTCGATGGGACGAGACACCTTCGAACCAAACACCTGGATCCATGACACCGCAGACTCCTGCGACCCCGCTAACTACGCCTCATCAGACGTCTATTTTAACACCCAGCGGAGTAACGCCGACAGGACCCAAAGCTATGGGTTTGGCTACTCCTACGCCTGGACATTTAATGTCAATGACACCAGAACAGCTTCAAGCATATCGTTGGGAAAGAGAAATTGATGAAAGAAATAGACCTCTTTCTGACGATGAATTGGATGCTCTATTTCCACCTGGGTACAAAGTTCTTCAACCACCGGCAGGATATATTCCGATTCGTACACCAGCAAGAAAGCTTACCGCTACGCCGACTCCGATCGCCGGCACTCCGCAAGGTTTCTTTATTCAAACCGAGGACAAAACCGCAAAATTTGTAGACAATCAGCCGAAAGGTAATTTACCTTTTATGAAGCCAGAAGATGCACAATACTTCGATAAATTGTTAGTTGACGTCGACGAAGAAACACTCAGCCCTGAAGAGCAGAAAGAAAGAAAGATTATGAAGCTTCTTCTAAAAATTAAAAATGGTACACCGCCGATGAGAAAAGCGGCTCTCAGACAGATCACTGATAAGGCCAGAGAATTTGGCGCTGGTCCATTATTTAATCAAATACTTCCTCTCCTTATGTCCCCTACATTGGAAGATCAAGAACGGCATCTTCTTGTAAAGGTCATTGACCGTATTTTGTATAAACTGGATGATTTGGTCAGACCTTACGTCCACAAAGTAAGTATCAAACATTCCAAGCACTATTTTAGTTAAAGTTCAATCCAGATCAAAATGTTCAGATACTTTATAGTATGATATTTGAAAACGTAAAACTTTTGTTTTAGATTCTGGTTGTTATTGAACCTCTGCTGATTGACGAAGACTATTATGCTCGTGTAGAAGGTAGAGAAATTATATCCAATCTGGCGAAAGCAGCCGGATTGGCGACGATGATTTCCACGATGAGACCGGATATCGACAATATCGATGAATATGTGCGTAACACAACAGCAAGAGCTTTCGCTGTTGTAGCTTCAGCATTAGGAATTCCTTCGTTGTTACCGTTTCTTAAAGCTGTGTGTCGTAGCAAAAAGTCGTGGCAAGCTCGTCACACAGGTATCAAGATAGTCCAACAAATTGCTATTCTTATGGGATGTGCTATACTGCCACATTTAAAGAGTTTAGTCGAAATTATAGAACACGGTAAATTGACAATCACTAGACTAATTTTAATCTTTCTTCTATCTGCAGACTTATCTTTCTATACATTCGTGGTTTTGCAGGTTTGGTTGATGAACAACAGAAAGTTCGTACTATCACTGCTTTGGCAATTGCTGCCTTGGCTGAAGCGGCTACACCTTACGGTATCGAAAGCTTTGACTCTGTTTTGAAACCACTTTGGAAAGGTATTCGTACGCATAGAGGAAAAGGTTTGGCTGCGTTTTTAAAAGCTATTGGATATTTGATTCCTCTCATGGATGCCGAATATGCCAATTACTATACTCGTGAAGTAATGTTGATTCTTATTCGCGAGTTTCAATCACCCGACGAAGAAATGAAGAAGATCGTTTTAAAAGTAAGCAACATTATTCGAATTACATTAATCCAATTTATTTGTTATTTTACTAATTTCGTTAATTCAACAGGTAGTAAAACAATGTTGTGGAACAGATGGTGTTGAAGCACAGTACATCAAGGATGAGATCCTGCCACATTTTTTTAAGCACTTCTGGAATCATCGAATGGCATTGGATCGCAGAAATTACAGACAGGTATACGTTTTATATTTAAATGAGTATACAATTAAGATGGATGAAGATACTAAATCCTAAATTTTACTTTATAGCTTGTGGACACGACCGTAGAAATCGCGAACAAAGTTGGCGCGTCAGAAATTATAAACCGTGTTGTGGATGATTTAAAAGATGAAAATGAACAATACAGGAAGATGGTTATGGAGACCATTGAGAAAATAATGGGTAATTTGGGAGCTGCTGATGTTGACTCTCGTTTGGAAGAACAACTCATAGATGGTATATTATATGCGTTCCAGGAGCAGACAACGGAGGTTTGTAATCATTATTTGAATAGCAAATGTAACAATTAAATTCATGTGCTTGACGTAATGATTCTATCTGATTACAGGATGTTGTTATGCTTAATGGGTTTGGTACTATTGTAAACACACTAGGAAAAAGAGTGAAGGCGTATTTACCACAGATATGTGGTACAATATTGTGGAGATTGAATAACAAATCAGCCAAAGTAAGACAACAAGCCGCTGACTTAATTTCGCGCATTGCCGTTGTTATGAAAACCTGTCAAGAGGTAAAGTTTATTTTAAGTTACAATTAATTTTTTTCTAATGAAAAGTTAATATATTTTGATTCCCTTTACAGGAGAAACTAATGGGTCATTTAGGCGTTGTTCTTTATGAATATTTAGGAGAAGAATACCCTGAAGTACTGGGTAGTATTCTAGGCGCGTTGAAAGCTATTGTTAATGTTATAGGAATGACAAAAATGACACCACCGATTAAAGACTTATTACCACGACTTACACCCATCTTAAAGAACAGACATGAAAAGGTTGATGTCCGATACAAAATCAACGATGCATTCCATATAACAACATTACTTATTTTAATGCTGTATTTAATTGTTTAGGTACAAGAAAATTGTATCGATCTTGTAGGAAGAATTGCAGATAGGGGACCCGAATACGTATCTGCCAGGGAATGGATGAGAATATGTTTCGAACTTTTGGAATTGCTGAAAGCACACAAGAAAGCAATTAGAAGAGCCACAGTGAACACTTTTGGTTACATTGCAAAGGCGATAGGGTAATTAGATAACTTTTTAAGGAAGTTTCACGTTGGAAAAATATTTTAAACTTGTACATTTTGTTATAGCCCTCACGACGTATTAGCAACTCTATTGAACAACTTGAAAGTACAAGAACGTCAAAATCGTGTTTGTACTACTGTAGCTATAGCTATTGTCGCTGAAACTTGTAGTCCATTTACGGTACTTCCTGCACTGATGAACGAGTATAGAGTGCCAGAATTGAACGTGCAGAACGGTGTGCTGAAATCTTTATCATTTTTGTTTGAATATATTGGAGAAATGGGAAAGGATTACATTTATGCTGTTAGTCCATTGCTAGAAGATGCATTGATGGATAGGTAAAATATGTATAATAGGAAAGAATATCATATTCCTTATGAAAAATTGTGATCAATTATCTTCTATCTTATCGTCATCACAGGGATTTAGTACACAGACAAACAGCCTGCGCCGCAATTAAACACATGGCATTGGGCGTTTATGGATTCGGATGCGAAGACGCGTTAATACATTTACTGAATCATGTGTGGCCCAACGTTTTTGAAACTTCTCCACATTTAGTGCAAGCATTTATGGATGCTGTGGATGGTTTGCGTGTCGCTCTTGGGCCAATTAAAATATTGCAATATACTTTACAGGTACGTGATTCATGAAATTAACATAACGAATTGTGTGAAATATTAAGTAAATATATATTTCATTGCAGGGACTATTCCATCCGGCAAGAAAAGTACGCGATGTATATTGGAAAATTTATAATTCTCTTTATATAGGTGGACAGGACGCTCTAGTGGCTGGTTATCCTCGAATTATGAATGATCCAAAGAATCAGTACATTAGATATGAATTGGACTATGTTTTGTAATAATTTAAGTACATGTAAAAGATGTGTATCATACATTTATATAATCTTCAAAAGAGATTAACATGATTCGCTTATTATGTTTACAAGAACTAGATAAATAGTCGTATGTCACGTAACACATAAGGTAGACACTACAGTGGATCATTAAAAGTATTTATTTCTTGGACTTCTTTAATCAAGTTACACATCAGTGTCCATAAGAAATGAATTCTAATTACGGACTTGTTTGAGGAGAAATGTGTCAGTCCTTATATGAATAAACTGTTTCGTATCATAACGGTAGAGAAATGATTTCGCTTTATTAATTGATATAACGTGTCTATTTAGCTATTCCCTTAACTATCACTTTTTATTGTAGCAAAAGAGAAATGTATCAAGTAATAATATGTCGACTGAATGTGTTTTTTAATATTTTATTTAAAACATAAATATTAAACAACTAAACCAGACTAGATGGTAATATATAATACATATATATGTATATATATATTCCAAAAATTGATATTTTAATCGCTTAAGACAGAGTTCAATATTTAATAGCGCATATTGTGTAAAACGTCCATGGACTGAACTTATGCATGTATATTACAATGGTTAAGTATTATTGGAGAATACAGTCATATTTGTTTCATATAATTATATATCTCAATCTTCTATGAAACATTAATATACTTACATTCATCGCAATAATTGATTGTATAAAAATTGTATGTGAAATGTCTGTATCTCCAAATACACTTTGTTTCAAAAATCTGGCATAAAGCACATATGCGTAAATATAGAAACGTATTTGTATCACTGTACTTAGAACGTTTCTCAATTGTGTGTGAATTCAATACAATTCCTTCGATTTCGGTCCTGATAAGTGAATGATACTACCATTTACACATGCATTCAAACAAAAAGTAGATAGTTTCAACCAAGTAAAATTTTCAGCTTAAGCTCTTGATATTATTAAGAATATTTTAATCATACGCAGAGGCCATTTACCTAATAGCACTTTCTATA